GGTTAATTGGTGATTCTAAATTGTCCGTAGGTGTGAATGTGAGTGTGCTTGGTTGTCTGTCTCTAAGTGTAGCCCTGTGATAGACTGGTGACACTAGTGAGGATCAAGCGGTGTATAGATAATGGATCAATGGATGGATAGTTTAAAGGGACAAAGTGTAAGTTCAAGTTGATAGGATCTACAACATACAAACAAAATGATAAATGAGATTCACTTCAAACGGCACTTTAGCTAAAGCTCAGGTGCACTTTTACAATGTGACTAACCGATGCAAAGTATAGAAATGGTACGTTTAAGGACAACGCCAGACGAGCACTTTTGTTTCTCTGATCTCTATGCTGAACGAACTGTCTGTGGCTTCATATTTATCATACCACCATCCATCCATCCATCCATCCATCCATCCATTATCTATACACCACTTAATCTTCACTAGGGTCATGGGGGGCTGGAGTCTATCCCAGCTGACTCAGGGTGAAGGCAGGAGACCACCTGGACAGGTCACCAGTCTATCACAGGGCTACACTTAGAGACAGACAACCAAGCACACTCACATTCACACCTACGGACAATTTAGAATCACCAATTAACCTCAACATGTTTCTGGACTGTGGGAGGAAGCCAGAGAACCCGGAGAGAACCCACGCTGCACAGGGAGAACATGCAAACTCCACGCAGAAAGATTCCGGTGCCCCCACCGGGACGCGAACCGGCAACCTTCTTGCTGCGAGGCAACAGTGCGCCACCTTGCAGACATGTGAAATATCCAGATTTTAATGCTAACATTCAGGAAACAAATCCATCTAAACATTTCCAAGCTTATATCCAAAAACATAAAGAATTTAATTAAATCCTCTGATGTATTCTGACTATTTGTCGAAGTTTACCATGTCTAGGTTTCTGTATGTTAAGTGCCCAACGTCAACATCACGACTCCCTGTACCCTGTAGTTATTAGCAAAGCAGGTAAATTAAAAACCAGGGTGATATAGAAGTCTGTCGCAGCAAATACTTCTGTTTGCTGCTTGACATTTCGTTCCACGTGCAGAAAACATGAAAAAAAAAAAAAACTTGGATCATCCTGGAAAATACACTGATGAATGTATATGAATAAAGGAGCATAAACAAAAGAATCAATATTTGCTAAAGTTTTGAACAGGCTGCTGGGATAATCTTTAAAGAGGGAAACCAACCCTCTGAAGAATGCGAATCATTGATTAAAGCTAATCCTGCTGCTCTCTGTCACGCATACCACGGGATAATTACCACAAAGCTTCGCAGATAGTCTACCTGTGGTTCTTATCTGTCTCTAAAGAACTACACTGGTAGTAAGCGTAATGGGATGAAAGAGTGGGAGAAGAAAGATGAACGACTGAGGCTCCTGGATTAATAGCGCTGGCGAGGAAGAAACGGCCGGGTGGGAAGCGAAGAGAGGTGCGGAATCCTTAATCGTCTCTTTGCACTCTATAAGCCGCTCGAGTGACCAGTCGCCAGAAGTACATTTGTTCTTGAGCAATTAAGACAAATGGGTCGATGCTGACCACCGCTGCCTTTGTTTTCTTCTCCGTCGGCAAGAACAAAAAGCATTTAGGGAAACTTATGGGAGTAGTTGTCAGTCTGTGGAAAAGCATATGAGATTTATTTACAGAGCCTGTGAGCAGCAGCACCATTGATACAACAGCTACGTAGTATGTAACCCTTAAAAACTTGCTTATTGCTGTGCCGCTTGCTGAGTGCTGCAGCATTTCCAGACTTCCCTCAGAGCAAACGCACTGTATGGAGAAAGCAGAATTGCTCTTTTGATCTATGCGTCTCCGAGGTGGACCAGGGGAAGCAGACAGGAACAACCAAGTCGTTAAGGAGACTGGAAAAAAAAAAAAAAAACATGCACAGTTTGAGCATTTCCAAACAGGACAAACTTCTGCGGATTCAAATGCAGCACCCCGCCGCTACGGTCAAAAGGTTTACGGCCGAGTTAGTCGTCTGTCAGAGTGGAGGTGAAGGGGGGTGAGCGGAGGTGCCTGGGGTGTTCTTGATGCTGGCTGGAGGTGGAGTTGATGGAAAGTGGAGAAAAGCAGGCAGGTTTGCTAGACGGAGAGCGTAGCTGGAGATCTGGCTGGTTGCCTGACACCCGGAGAGCAAGCAGGCTGGCACACGCTGAGGAATCACAAAGGGTGACACAACAATCTGGCGAAGACGGGCGGCGAAGACGGGGTTCGTATAGTGCAGGAGCTGGTGAGGTAATGGTGGATAGGTGTGCCAGTGCCTAGCGCACGTGTAAAGCCGCAACACAAGACACACAAACACACTTCCAACCACCCTGCTTCCTTTTTGTGGGGGTAACCTGTTTTGCTCTATATGCAAATTTGCATGTGCGAGTGGCTGCATCTGGTTGGTGTCGTCGTCCTCCTGCGGTTTGACGCTTGATTAGACGCAGACCTCCAATCAAGCTCTGCACCTGTATTCAGAAGTGCTGCCAGTCTGCTCATTCAGCAGCAGCAGCTTTTGTGTATTGTGCAGTTTACCTACGTGCCTCTGTGTGTGAGAGTTGTGAGGCAATACTTTTCAGAAAGGAGGTTTGGGGCTATGCAAGGGACTCTCGCTGAAGTTAGGCTCTCGTAGTTGTAGAAGATATCACACAGGGGTGCTACTCCTTTGAGAGTTTTTGTTTTGGATATCCTTGGGTAAAGTAAGTTCGGGTTTGGTTTTAACGATTTTATTTAGTAATTGTAAGTTAGTTTAGTGTGTTTATAACTACAGTCGTGACTTGATAATCCGACACTAAATGTAAAACCTTCTTTTATGTCGGATAGCAAGGCTGTCGGGTTGTCAAGACGGAGGTCGAGATACAAGGAGGGCTTGATGCTAGAAGGCTCATTAGTTGTTAATATTTATTGTTTATAGTTGTTATAATAAGTAGTATATTGTTAGAACACTACGCATCGCTGGATTTCATGCCTAATTGACCGGTGTGCTTGTGCACATTCCGGCCACTTCCACCCCGTCGGAGCAGAAGTGGCCGGAACACACAGGCAGTACTTGGCTGCTGATGCCGGTTTAGCTAGCGGTCACACTTCTGTTTCCACCATCGCTGGCGGCGCCGGCAGGAAGTGGCGGGCAAGATACGCTCCACCGTTACCATCCATATTTACTTCCGTAAACACTGAGCATGCTCGCTGCGTGACGTCGTCGTGTCCTCTTCTGCGCATGCGGGACACTTTTGGGTCGCATGAAGTTCACACAGCAGATCACATACAAGTCGCATTTAATTGGAAATGTGAACGAACTCGCAAACAAATCTGATTTCACACAAAAATCCTCATTGAGCATCAAGTCCTGCAGTGTGAACGTAGCCAATCTGTGGGATTGTTCAGTCAGATAATACGCTGTTATCCTAATTGGTGACATAAAATGTCATGTCAGAGTCACAATCCAAGGCTGTCGGTATGCTAAGGCTGTTTTTCATGGGTTCAGTTCATTTTTCCTAAAACCTGTCGGATAGCAAGGTTTTCAGATTGTTAAGGGACAGATTATCAAGTCATGACTGTACTGGTAAAAGTCCTCCTTTAGTTATATTTTCTTATATATTTAAGTAGCACCCTTCACCCAGTTCCTCCTTTTCATTTGTGATCTTGTGATGTATGTTAACTACTTATTCCAATAAAGAAACCAGTTTATAAACTAGTTAACAGCGGCCACTTTGCTGCTTTTGTTTCCACGCCCAAACAGAGTTCGACTTACTTCCTGTAGGTACAAACTAAAGCTTCCCTGACGAAGCACGTACTATTCCAGGCAGTATGCATACAACTGGGACTCACTGCTTCGTCATAACGTCCCACCTTAAACTCTGACTGTTGCAATCTGTTGTGCGAAACGACCCGTTATCTGTCAGCGCGCTCTCAGCTGCTCGAGCTTGTTTGTGCTCGCGCCACTCGTGACACCGTGACGTGGGTTTGCAGAGGGCTGCGGGTCTGAACGCATCCAGGTTTGCATATTGCAAAAAAAAATCCGACCAGATGTAGTCGGACGAAGTGATATTTTTGGCATTTGACGTACTGAATCTTTTTCCGGCACACTTCATAATACGGATATTGTAGCACACCCACAGACAAACCCACACAGAGAGAAAAAGAGGGAGGGGGAGACAAATACAGCACAGTAGGAGAACAGAGAGCCAGGACACAAAACTAAAGCACACCTCTGAAAATTAAACCCAGAGTAGAGACATAACTTTACAAAGTGACACCACAAAAGCATGACACCAGCGATGTGGAACCGGGCGTGTCTAATAAGCATGCAACTCTGCATAAATGTCATGGCCCCCAGATAGATTTCTTAATGACTTATGATTCCATGATGTCCAGAATTAGAAAATGCCATGGCACCTATTGAACGTGATATATACATTTATGTCCCCTTAAGGAAGAAATGTAATAAGTTTGGTTAATTTTTTCCTGCAGCACCATGATAAGGTCACATTTTCTCCTATTCTTTGGTTTAGGAGCAATTACATGCAAAAAACTAATACAATTTCCATCAGACCGAGCTGCATGCAGACAATCTGCATGTTATCATGGTGTTGTTTCCCTTTGGCTCAAATCACCAAGCCTCACAGAGCCACTAGGAGAACCCTGGTCCTGTTGTCCCCATTAGCTGCCAGTTCATTTCCCTGTTTTCTCCCGTGCCATTCGTGCAATCACATCGCTGTGGTTATTTCCCTGTTATCAAACCAACAGTGTCGCCTCTTCTTCCAACCTGATCTCGGCAAGTACACACCGGGATGTTTCTCTTCCTTCTCTGCCGTCAAAGAGTTCAGATCCACGATGGTAAACTGAAGCCCATCCTGTCACCTGCACCATGACTCGGTTATTAAACGAGATGGTTGTGCCGGGGTCGCTCCGTAGAATCAGAAAATACAGAATCTGAAATGATATCAAGAACTCAGCAGGGCTTTGGGATTTTTACTTACAGAAATAAGCAGCGCAAATACAAAGACAACTGTTCTCTGGCTGATTACTGCATTTTATTGAAGGCTTTGGAAAAACGCAACAAGGATTATTTCCGATCAAAACAGAACCAAGTGTATAACCCAAAAACATCCCTCTAGAGCCCGCCGTGTTCAAAACTTCATAATCGCCGTCAATAACTAGTAAAGAAATCTTAGAAGGTTAAACTAGTTAAGAAGTGAACGTAATAGTAAAAAGGTTTTGTGTGTGTGTGTGTGTGTGTGTGTTTCAAGGATAGGTAAGGCTGAAAGCATAAGGCTGTAACTCTGACTGCTACTCAACTCTATCACAGTGTCAAAGGAGCTAGTGTCAGGATCATCTCTGGCCCAGGAAGGGGGACCAGCTTACTGAGAGAGAGAGAAAACGATATTGTTCCATAAATTCCAGAAGAACAGATTGTAAAGGCAGGGCATAGGTTCACATTATTGTCAAACTTTCAGTTCAAATTAAACCACATTTTACTCTAAATGAGTCAAATTAAGACCACGTTTCATACATGAAACAGGTCCACTTGCCTCTCAGATAAATTTATTTATTAGCTAAGTGCCACTATGCAGTCATTTATTATTTTCCTTCATAATTAGTTGAGTCGAAAAACTGGTTCTTCTGTGAAATCAAATCAAATCTGAGCTTCATCTCTCAGTCAAACCAGAAATACGCGCAACTTCCTCTCAGGAGTGAAGCATTCTGACCCTTCACAGTGACTCACCATGTGACTTGTCGACAGCCACTTGGGCCAGAACGCATCGAATTCGTTCAAATAAAACCGTGATGACACAACCCGTTTGCAGTACGTCTGCACGTTAAACAAGACGGCGGTGAGACGAGGAAAAACGGCGACAATTCATGATGAGGCAACTTCAGCCTAATTTGCACAATCCTGCTGCACTGCTCCGAGGCGTCCCGCCGCTAAGTATACCGATGTGAGAAGATGGGAAAAAAAGAAAAGAATATGTGAAACAGTTTTTGGTTATTAAAGTGCTCCGACACACCATCAATTAGCAGCAGTATGTATGTACATATAAATGTGGTTCAGCACTCTTACAAATCAACCATTTAAAAATCCCCCATTTTACAGATGAAAAAAAAAAAAAAAAAAAAGAGAAACAATCCCTCTATAACTAGGTCTTAAAAAGAAAGAAAAACACTTTTGAGTTCTCTCAGTAGTTACTTCAACGTGACCTCTAGCTATGACAAAATTATATATATAGATTGTTTTTTAAAAATGGAGGAGAAATTAACAAAGTAAAAACAAAATGGAAATTAAAATATCATCGTCATGCAGAATATCATCCATACTTTACATACATACAAAATTACATTTCTTTTTTTCTCTTTTAAGAATAGATTCTGTAAACACTGCTTTAGGTCCTTCGGTTTTGGTTTATCCACGTTTCTGCTACAATCCGTATGTTTCTCCATAGAAAATAGTCCGAGGCTCCTGCTCTGGCACCTGCAGATGATTTTTAAACTCCCCCGACCCTCCCCACAGGTTTTTTTTTTTTAATTTTATTTTTTTATACCATTCCTCCGATATTCTCCCCATTTCGCTTCAAAACCACAGAAAGTGAAGAAACTAGAAGAATTGAGTGGAAGCTCTCGTGTGCTGATGGGTTCATGTGGGTGTTTTAAAAACGTGGATGTACTTTGACGTTTTTAAGCACCCACATGAACCGCATCGCTATAAAAAAAAAAAAGAAAAAGAAAAAAGAAAAAGGGATGTAAAAGACACCAGATAATAGAGAAGGGGGACACGGGGTTAGCTGAGGACAGTTGACAAGGCTGAATATAGATAAGGCATAGCATGGGCAGAGGTTGGGAAGGTCTGAATTAGGAGTCCACACGTCGGGCAGATTGTTAGCCTTTTCCAGTACGTTTTCAAAAAAAGGGGGGGCAGAGGGTAGCGTTAGGCAAAGATGTTTGTGTAAGGTAGTGAAGGGACTGTAGACGGAATTCAGAGGCCTTGGAGGAACTCCTGGAGCTGCCTGACGAGCTCCGTGTCCACAGTCTCCATCAGGACCCCGAAGCCCTGGTCCCCCATCAGGGCCTGCTGAGCCTTCAGCTTTTCGTAGACAAACTGCTGCAGAGAAACGCTGTGCACCGGGTCCTCCAGGGCCAACTGCAGAGAGACAAAGGGAAAAAGGGAAAATTACAGTTTGGATCCCAGCAGAGGAAAATGTCTCCAAGTCAGCGTTTTTGGAAGAAAGGCCATGGGTTAGAAACTGCTTGTGTTTGTTCCCGTACACTGTGAGACATGCACTTCTAGGAAGTATTCAACCAAAGTGAAACTTCAACTGCGTCTGTACAGAAGAAAAAGAGTCTGAATAAATGACTAAAACAATTAATTGCATGCTTGCAAACATCACTTCCTGTTATCTGTGAAGATCCTCAGTCATCCAGGTCATGGTGATTCTGGTAGATTAATGGTAGCAACTGGACTTGCTTGAGTTCAGACGAGGAAGAGGAGCAACAAACCCACAACTGAAACCCAAACTCAGGTGTTAATGGATCCTTAATGATATCTGGAACTCCTAACTAGTCAGAGCTGATGAAGCCTCTTGGATGAAACGTCTTCAAGGAACTCAAGCAAGTCCAGTTGCTACGATAAATCTACCAGAATATTGCTTCTTGTTTTCGTCTCCAGAGTGAGTACAAGGAGGTAACGAATAAAAGCTGGATTCTTCTTGGGTATGCTTGGAATTTCCTTTTTTCTTGCACACTCTTGCTCAATATTTTGTAGTTTCATTCAAGCCTGCTTGCTCTGTGGTTAGATTCGAATGTGTAGATCAGGGGTCTCAAACTCGTGGCCCGCGGGCCAATTGAGGCCCACGGGATGATATTTTTGGGCCTCCAACTTGACATCAAAGTTGAGCTAAGCCAGTCTTTGCCCTGGGCGTTTTATATTTTTTATCAATTGTGGGCTATCATAGCTCAGGCTCATAACAGCAACACGAATTAGAAACGTGATTTGGGAGTGTCACTGAGTGGAGAGAAAATATATCCTGTCACCCAGTGCAAATGCGTTTTTGTTATTTTCTATCAGTGTGAGAAGCTCTTCTCCACCATGAACCTTAATAAGTCAAAGTACAGGTCCAAACTTACTGATGAGCATCTTCAAGCCACACTGAGGGTCTCAGTTGCTTCCTCCCTCAAGCCAAATGTGGCTCATTGTGTAAGAGGAAGTGTAGGTAAGAGAAGCCGATGTTCTGAAGAACCTTTCATGTTCTGAGTTGTTATTAATAAAGACTGAGAAGACTGGATCAGTTGTACTTTTTGGATTACTTGATGCCTCACTCAGACTCTACCTCCAGCGGCCCCCGGGTAAGTTGAGTTAGAGACCCCTGGTGTCAATGATTCCCCAAATCTTTGCATTTCAACACCAGAGCTCTGCACACTGGACCACTCTTCAGTTTCACGCTTTAATAATAACTCGCCTTTGGAGACAGATTACACGTAACCCAGATTGTTCTGCTGATAATCGGGCTCTTATTGGAGTTTATCAGATGACTTACTGAACTATGAATGTGCAAAAACAAAAAAGCTGTATATTACTGTTTGACTGCTCCCTAGCAGACTGGACTATACATTGTGTTTCCATTATGCAGGGTGTTTTGTTTTGTGCGTTCTTTACAGCAGGGACGGCGATAAACCCAAATCCTATATCCAAACAAACACATAAATCCAGGTCCAAACAGAACCACTCCACCTGAGCAACACCAACACGTATTAACAGAAAACACCTTCAACTCCGATAATATAATTCATATAAATGAACGGCTTGGTGAAGAGGCAAACACATTATTTCTCGTTCGTTCTTACGATTTCTGTTAAGGGTGGCAATACCTGCAAATGCAGTTGAAAAGGACATTCACCGACAATGCCCCCAAACTGTTGTCGAGTCGCTTTTGACAAACGGAGAATGAAAAGCAACTCAGACAGTTTACCTTTTCCGACTTTGACGTACACATCTAACACAAAACTGGCACAAGAGAAAGTGATTCAGCATATGCAGCCGCTGCCATTCATCTTAGGCTGAAGAAAGCGCTGAAAAAATAATCCTTGACAATAGAGTAAAAAAAAAAAGTAAGAAAAAGTTGGCTGGCTGGCTCGAGCCAACACATTTCTGCAGGCATGCACACTGTCATTTATTATCCGCCGAGTGAAGAAAGGGCAGCGGCAAAACACAACAGCATGGGAAAGTTTGAAAGCCTGCAAATAAATGAGAGGAGTATACGTGTACTGTGAAGCATCCCACAAGCAAAACTTTTAGGTTTTTTTACATTCAAATCAACTTTTTGAATATTCTTTGTGCGATAAAATGATTGAAAAGTCTACCTGTGATTTTTTTTTTTTTAGGTTGTACATTCTGTGTTATGTAGATTTCCTTCTGGATATGAATCCGTCATTCAGTGAGATTTGTGTTGGTACAGTCGTGACTCGACACTAAATGTAAAACCTTCTTTTATGTCAGATAGCAAGGCTGTCGGATTGTCAAGACGGAGGTCCAGATACAAGGAGGGCTTGATGCTTGAAGCTCATTTGTTGTTAATAGTTGTTATAATAACTAGTAGGGCTGGTCCTAATAGCACTTTTTGGGCTCCGGATATTTGGGCCCAATTAATGATGAATATTCGGCGTGGTCGGGGGGTACTTCCACCCCGGGGGAGCGCTCCGACGGGGTGGAAATAGCTGGGACGCACAGGTAGTACTTGGCTGCTGATGCCAGTTTAGTTAGCGGTCACAGTTCTGTGTCCAACATCAACGGCGGTGGTGGCGGGGGAGTGGCAGATACACTCCACCGCCACCATCCATGTTTACTTCCATAAACACTGAGCACGCTCGCTGCGTGTGACGTCTCGTGTCCTCTTCTGCGCATGCGGGACACTTTTGGGTCGTATGAAGTTCACACAGCAGCTCACATACAAGTCGTATTTAATTAATTAAGCTCTACACTCCCTACCGCTTACTACGCTGGACCAACAAAACCCGCCTGATACAACCACCGCAACAGGGCCGAGGTCGATGGCTGGACTCTTCTCCTCTGTGGTTCCACGATGATGGAACAAGTTACCAAACTCTGTTCAACCTGCTGACTTTAAGACTAAAGACCAGCTCTTCACTGAACACCTTTGCACTGGACAGGCAAAAAACAAAAACAAACAAACAAACAAAATGACCTCCTTACAGCCTGCTGTTGGCATCATTGCCCTTTCACACTTGAATTTGTTCTATGGCACTTATCTAGATCGCTTTCTCCTGACTAGATCCTTGCTTGTGCTGTGTCTGCTCTCAGATGTACGTCGCTTTGGATAAAAATGTCTGCTAAATGAAATTGTAGAAATTGTAATTGGAAATGTGAACGAACTCACCAAAAATCAGATTTCACAAAAAAATCCTCATTGAGCATTAGGTCCTGCAGTGTGAACGTAGCCAATCTGTGGGATTGTTCAGTCAGATAATACACCGTTATCCTTGTTTGTGACATAAAATCTCATGTCGGAGTCAGAATCCAAGGCTGTCGGTATGTTAAGGCTATTTTTAATGGGTTCCATTCGTTTTTCCTAAAAACCTGTCGGATAGCAAAGTTTAGGATTGTTAAGCGTCGGATAATCGAGTCACGACTGTTTGTGCATGTGTGTGTAATATCTGCACATATTGTGGCTCTCTCTGAACAATGACTCTCTCTTTCTCTCCTGCTTTGATTTCCCCAAAGATTAATTACTCTTTTTATGCGATGCTGCTTGACACTCCGCCTCCAACCTTTTGAAAATCAGGTCAGTGTGGTAAATCGCACACATATACAAACTCCCTCAGTGGCTCAGTCTCTCCGACCACCTCACACAAACTTGACATTTTGGCAGGCGTGCACGCTCTTAATCGAGTATCAACAAAAGAGCCTCACAAAGCACAACTTTGGGCCCTTTGAGAGGCACAATATTGTAATGACAACTCCGAGTCTCTGGCCAATTACTGGCAACAATACTTGTCATGCCAATTAGTTCTTTGTCATTACAGTGCAATCAAACTAGTGAAGAGTGGCTGTTGGAGAGTGGATTAATGGAAAAGCTGTCATCTAACCTGCATAATTACCTTCAGCACAAGGACTTAGTGGAAGTTTTGTGTGTCTCTGTGCAGGACTACATCCTCTATCGCCTCGTGTGTGTGTGTGTGGCACAATCAGCTGTCTTTTGGCGCTTGCCAGGCTGTCATTTTCAATAAGAAACTGCTCTCAATGTCTCGTCTGGTGACATAAAGGTTAAATGAAAAGGAAAATGTGCGTCTGGAGCAACATCGAGGCCAACGTGTGCAATTTTAATCTTTATGATCCTCTTAAAAATCTACTGTAGTCTAATTGGGAAAACATTAATGACGAATGTCTGCCAGATAAATATCTAATTAGTTTTGGTTTAATAGGAGTACGAGCAATTAAAAAATCTGTAGGTATAACGTCTCAGGAACAATGCATCCAAATAAAAAGGACTTCATGCAAACTGAACGCCAGAGAAACAAAGCATTAAAACAAAAAGATAAAGTCTGGCCGACGAATAAGTTCATTCAGAAGCGTTTGCTGACGTAAATTGAAAATTCACAATAAAAGGACAGTTAAATTGAGGAAAGCAGCAAAATATAAACAGGATGTTAACACCAGATAGGAGCTTAAAGGCAGAACATTTCTAACAAACAACCTGCAGAGACAATGTTCTCAGGATGTACCGAGCAGCCTGAACCAGTCGGCAGTGTGGCCACGACAAAGACACACCGAGGCAGAGAGGGGAATAAGAACAAAGGAGGCATGAAGAAGTAAAGATAGAATTGCTAGGTGGAGATAAAATTTAAAAAAGAGGGGGTAATGAAAACACCAGAGATGGGAAGCACTGTCACGCAAGACAAGAGGACACCAGGAAACCGACACAATGACGTGGTAGCAGCAGAAAACACCGTTAAAGAAAGCGGGTGACGGAAAGCGAGGTGACGTGGGCCGCGGAGCGAGTGGGCACAGCTCGACATCATTGTTCGGGACGGAGAGGAGGGAAGAGATGAGTGGGCAACATGAGAGGAAACAGAGGCAGATGAAGAGAGACGGATGAAATGACAGGGCCTGTAAAAGCCCTCATCTCT